AGTCGGGTAGGTGGCTCATGCTGTAATCCCAATACTTTGGGAGGCCAAGACAGGTGAATCACCTGAAGTCAGGAGTTTGGAGACCAACCTGCCAGCACAGAAACTCTGTCTCTACTACAAATACAAAAATTAGCCGGCATGATGGTGGTGCACCTGTAATCCAGCTACTCGGAAGGCTGAGGCAGGAGAATCCTTCAGTTTCCTGAGTAGCTGGGATTACAGGTGCGCACCACCATACCCGACTAATTTTTGTATTTTTAGTAGAGACAGGGTTTCGCCATGTTGGCCTGGCTGGTCTTGAACTCCTGACCTCAGGTGATCTGCCTGTCTCGGCCTTCCAAAGTGCTGGGATTACAGGCGTGAGCCACTGCACCCAGCCATTTTTGCTATTCTTTATTAGGTTGGTGCAAAAGTAATTGTGGTTTTTGACATTCTTTTAATGCATCAACCTAATATTTTGATTGTCCTGGATTTGGCCAATGGGAGCCCCTTCAAACAAGGCCATGTCCTTTAAAATTTTTTATTTTATTTTCTGGCACTTTTTTTTTTTTTTTTTAGATGGAGTTTCACTCTTGTTGCCCAGGCTGGAGTGCAATGGTGTGATCTTGGCTCACTTGTTCAAATGATTCTCCTGCCTCAGCCTCCTGAATAGCTGGAGTTACAGGTGCCTGCCACCACACCTGGCTAATTTTTATATTTTTAGTAGAGATGGGGTTTCATCATGTTGGCCAGGCTGGTCTCAAACTGCTGACCTCAGTAATCCATCCGCCTTGGCCTCCCAAAGTGCTGGGATTACAGGCATGAACCATGCCTGGCCAGGACAGAGAATAAGTCTTGATGGACTGGCTGTGGGAAAGGGGAAAAAGGTGTCAGGGATGACTCCTAGATTTCTCTTGAGCATGTAAGTCAGTGGCATGCAAAGAACATTGGAGGGACCTCTGCTTTTGGTCAACTTGGTATGTCAGGGACTAGATTCACCTTCTTACTTGAAACAGTTTTTTTAAATGACAAAAGACATGAAATAATGATTTTCAGGATGCTGGACATCAGGCAACAAAGGACAGTAATCACCAAAGAGAAAGGATATAAAAGAGGTGAACTTTGTGACTGCCCCAAGCTTACTGCTTTGAAAGAGTTTCCAGGCTGCGGTGCAGGGAGAGGTTGGCGGGCTTCCTGAGTTGAAGCAATGGAGCTGAGAGTATGGAGGGGCCAAGGCAGCTAGAGTTCACAGGACAGCAGAGTACCGGAGAGGAGAGGGCAGCACAGAGAAAGAAGAGAGATCTACAGAGGGTCCTCCTGGAGTATTTAGCTGAGAACTGATCAGCACATTCACGTGAGGGAGCTACTTGAGGATGAAGAAAGAACTATCCAAAAGGATTGGAAGGAACAGTGCCGGGCACCACTGGGCCAGTAATAGTGCCTACTCCCACTGGACTGGAGAAACTTCATCATTCACAGGACACCAGGGAGGACTCAAAAGGATCTTGCTTCTGTAGTGTGGAATACATTTGTCAAACATATCAAATTGTACACTTCAAATATGTGTATTATCATGTATGAATTATATCTCAGTAAAGCTTTTTACAAATGAACGCTGTGGCCGGGTGCAATGGCTCATGCCTGTAATCCCAGCACTTTGGGAGGCCAAGACAGGCAGATCACTTGAGACCAGGAGTTCAAGACCAGCCTGGGCAACATGGCAAAACCCTGTCTCTACCAAAAATACAAAAAATTAGCCAGGCATGGAGGTGCGTGCCTGTAGTCTTGGCTGCTTGGGAGACAGAGGCAGGAGGATCATCTGAGCCCAGAGGTTGATCCTGTGGTGAGCCATGATCACACCACTGCACTCCAGACCAGGCAATAGAGTGAGACCCTGTCTCAAAGGTAATAATAAAATAATAATAATGTGAGACAGAGTTTTGCTCTGTTGCCGAGGCTGGACTGCTGTGACATGACCATGGCTCACTGCAGCTTCAACCTCCTGGGCTTAAGTGATCCTCCCACCTTAGTCTCCTGAGTAGCTGGGACTATAGGTGCACACTGCCATGCCTGGCTATTTTTTTATTTTGTGTAGAGACTGGGTCTTGCGTTGCTCCCCAGGCTGGTCCTGAACTCCCAGGCTAAGTTATCCTCCAGTTCGGCCTCCCAAAGTGTTGGCATTATAGGCATGAACTACCGCACCCAGCCTGAATTTCTACTTTTAACATCTACTAGGGGTGTGACTTTGGGCAAGTTACCTGTCCTTTCTGAGAGTCAATTTCTTCATCTGTAACATGGAAATAACAATATTACAGCTACACAGGGTTATTAAAATAATAGGAGGTTAGTAAAAGAATCAGAGAAGTAAAGCACCCAGTATAGTACGTTGTAGTGGCTCCAAAATGTTAGTTCCCGTCCCTTTTTCTTTTTCTTTTTCTTTTTTTTTTTGAGATAGAGTCTCGCTGTGTCGCCCAGGCCGGAGTACAGTGGTATGATCTCAGCTCACTGCAATCTCTGCCTCCCGGGTTCAAGCAATTCTTCTGCCTCAGCCTCCCGAGTGGCTGGGACTACAGGCATATGCAGCCATGCCCGGTTAATTTTTGTATTTTAGTGGAGACGGGGTTTCACCTTGCTGCCCAGGCTGGTTGCGAACTCCTGGGCTCAGGCAATTTGCCCACCTTAGCCTCCCGAAGTGCTGGGATTACAGGCGTGAGCGCCACTGCGCCCGGCCTCCCTTTTTTTTCCAAATATAAAATGATAGCTTTACTCTCAACACTTTAATAAGGTACAATAAGATACAAGATTCAACTGGCCAAAAAAAAAAAAAAAAAAAGATTCAACTTGCTGGGTTCAGAACATTATCACAGATTACCAGTGAACGGCTTTACAAATTTTTAAAACTAAAAATTAGCATAAAAAAATATAGATCACGGCCGCGAGCGGTGGCTCAAGCCTGTAATCCCAGCACTTTGGGAGGCCGAGACGGGTGGACACGAGGTCAGGAATCGAGACCATCCCTGGCTAACACGGTGAAGACCCCCGTTTTCTACTAAAAAAAATACAAAAAAACTAGCCGGGCCGAGGTGGGCCCGTGCCGCCTGTTAGTCCCAGCTACTAGGGAGCGAGGCAGGGAATGGCGTAAACCCGGGAGGCGGAGCTGCCCGGAGCTGAGATCCGGCCACCTGCACTCCGCCCGGGGCGACAGAGCGCGAGCATACTCGTCTCAAAAAAAAAAATAATAATGATAAGATAGGAATAAAGATAGTGAGATAGATAGACAGACAGATAGAAGATAAGATAGATAGATCCGATTGATTCGGATCACATACCATGCTCTGTCCGTTAAATAAAGTGGTCCTGAATGTTCCTTATGATCATCAGATCTCTGTTTGCTTCCAGAGAAGAAAACATGGAACAAGGATTGAAAATTAGAGAGCCAATAACAGTAAAACCATTCTGAAAAAGTGTCTAGCTTCAGGGAGGGTTAAGGTCAATTGAAATGTCTTAACTATATGTTAAGATTTCAAGGAATTAAAAATCTTTGAAATATATAACCACATCAGTATCACCATAGAGGTAGTTAATGAGGCCGAGGAGGTTTTCTGCCTACCTACCATATTATCTTTCTCCTGATCCTGCTTCTTCAGGTAACTTAATACTGACATTATGTCTTTCTCCATTTTACATTGCTTTTTCTTTAAGTCCTCATTACTTTTTGCCAGTGTCCGTGAAGTATCACGATACTCAATCCTAGAGAGTTCTGTGACTTCCAACCTGGCCTCCCAAAGGGAGGCATTGGCCTTGGCTCTGTCCACCACAGATTCATCTGTTTTTATTAACTTCCTGCATGGGAAGAGGACATTGACAGTATATGACTATTTATACAACTCTAATATGCAGACAGTATATAACTCTACTATATTACTATTAAATTTTTCTCTTTTTAAATTTGTTTTGCTTGGCATTTCCCCTGGCACACATGAGAAAACATTGTTGGATGAATAAGTTAATAAGAAATACCCATTCACATTTGAAAAATGAAAGAAAAAATACATATTCACTCGTATTCACATAAGAGAATTAAGTAAGTGCCTCGTCCTGGAAGAGGCGAGCCCCGGAGCGTAACTCGAAAAGACTGGAAAAACAAAGGGAAAAGACAGGATAAACCAAACTCATTTCATAAAGCTTTCATACCTTTTTTTTTTTTTGAGACAGGGCCTGGCTCCGTCACCATGCTGGAGTGCAGAAGCACGATCTCGGCTCCCCACAACCCCTGCCTCCTGGGCTCAAGCCATCCACCCACCTCAGCCTCCCAAGTGGCTGGGACTACAGGATTATGCAACGCGTCAAACCCTGGCTGGGGCAAGCATCCCGACCTGAGGTCGCCAAGTGGCTGGGACTACAGGATTATGCAACTATACCCAGCTAATTTTGTATTTTTCCGTAGAAATAGGTTTTTGCCATGTTGCCCAGGCTGGTCTTTAACTCCTGGGCTCAAGTGACTCCTCCTACCTCAGCTCCCAAAGGCTGAGATTACAGGTGTGAGCCACTGCACCCTGGACAGTTTTTCATATCTTTTCATTTACTTATTTTGATTCTCCATTTCTTTTTTTTTTTTAATAGAGATGGGGTCTCACTATGTTGCCTAGCTGTTCTCCCAACTCCTGGGGCTCAAGTATCCTCCCCACCTCAGCTCTTAATGTGCTGAGATTACAGGTGTGAACCAGTGCCCTGGCCTGATTCTCCTGTAGTTAAACTATTTTTTCTATCTACTCACTCATCTGGCACTTTGGTTCTCTCACTGGGCGAAACCATTATTCTGTTTATTTGTCTGCCAATGGAGTATTACCAATTGGTAGTGTAACTATAATCTCCCACCCACTTCATCCCTCTACTTTGAGTTTTTTTGTTTTTTGTTTGTATTTGTTTTTGGCCTAAGGTCTTGGACAAAAAGTCAAGTCACTAGGGCAAGTATGTTAAAACTTTATCGCTGGTGCCACGGTTCATCCGGACCTTTTTTTTTTTTTTTTTTTTTGAGACAAGGTCTGCTCTGATCATCAAGTAGTACCAGTACACAAC